ATATATCACTAAATATCTGCAATTAATGACAATTATTTTATTTGTAATAGTGACAAATTTTAAATTGTCATTGAAAATAATCTTTTTTTGACAACATGTAGTCGTGATGTATTTATTTGGATTTGTCACCATATAAAATGTTAAAATGACAATAATTTTTGTCACTAAATATTTACCTTTTCATGACAACTTATGTTGTCATTATATCTCAAGCTTTTGATGACAATCATTTTTTTCGTAATAATAAAACTAATATTTCATGACAAAAGATTTCGTCGCTTTTATATGTTTTTGGAGACGAATAATATTTCGTCACTACTTCTATTTTTTTGTGACACTTTTGTTATCGTCATATTTAAAATTTCTTTTTATGACGACTAATATTTTGTAATTATAGAACAACTTTTTGATGACGAATTCTATGAAATATGACGATTATTTTAACGAAAACGCCACAAATATATTCGTCATTGAAATTTTATAAATTCGATAAAAAAATAAAATTCGTCACTAAACAATAATATTTAGATGACGAATGTAAGTTTTCGTCATTTAAAACTTGTCTTTTTATGACAAAAAAAGCGTTTATATGACAAAATTTTCATATTAAACGTGACGAAATTATCGTCACGAAAAGTGACCAAATAACATGACGAAGCTTAAAACCGTCATTAAAAGTGAATCATTTGGTGACAAATTCGAAATTTGTCACCTATACCTAATATGACGCGGCTACGGTGACGATCGCTGTGACGATAAAATTTCGTCATCATTGTACTTTTGTGACGAAAAACAAGTTTTACATGACGAATTTTTTCGTCATGTTTTGCGAAATTTCTTGTAGTGTTTTTTTTAAAATTTTTTTTTTCAATGATTACCTAGTTATATTTTAATTTTTGTATGCTTTAAAAAAACAACATTCATCAATATTTCATCATATTGAAGATTTTATTTTGAAATCAACTTTAGAAGTAACTCTAAATTTTAGTTATTTGATTTTTATATGGTTTAAAAATACCAACATACTTCCTCATATTAAATATTTTATTTTGAAATCAACTTTAGAAGTAACTCTAAATTTTAGTTAAGACTAAATTTGTTCAACTAATATTAAAAATTTAAAATTCAAACAAAATATAATATGTATATTTTTTTATTAAAAAATATTCTTTAACTTTTCATACCATTTTAAATAACAGGAAAAATTCAATTGTAGATCAAGTATTACGAAGAATAAAATTTAAGTGAATCTTAACTGTTATTACTATATTTTATTTGTATTTTAAAAATTTTCAAATTATATAGGATCAAAGTTGACATAAAATATATTAATAACACACATATAATGTTATAATTCGATTCTTCGGTTCGGTACGGTATGAGACGGTTTAGTTCGGTTCTCGGTACGGATATTTGTGAAATCTCCTGAACCGTACCAATTATTTTTTTCGGTTTGGTTCGGTTCGGGGAAAGACAAGCGCTCAACGATTATTTTTCGGTTCGAAGTGATTTTGGTTCGATTTTCGAAATGGATCAGAATTCTCCGAGTTCCATATGCTCAGCCTTACATGCAACAATTAATGAGCTAATTAAAGCGTGTACAGAACCGAAGGAAAATGGAAAAGTTGTGTTATAATATATGTTGGGAAAAATAAAGGTGGGTTCGGTTATGTTTCAGTTTTTTTTTTTTTGCCAGAACGATAGAGATATTATAAATATCGCACAAATGTGCACAAAACAGCCACCAACTGATTACAACCAGCCAACAGCTGAATACAAACAGCCAATAGCTGAAAAAGTGGGAGGACAGGTCAGAGACCGCCCTAGAACCGACCCCAACGGGGTAAACTCAAGAACACTAAAAACACACAAAACAACAGAAGAGAAAAGACAATAACACAAGACCCCCACAGGGTAATTCCCGAGTGTCGGACCCCCACAGAGTAATGAAAATGACACTCGGGTGTACTGAGGCCAACGGCCCAAACCTAAAACACAACACAACCAAACTAGAGTCACAGGGGCAAACGCCCAAACCTAAAACACAATTACAAACACAAACACACGACAAACACAAACGAACACACAAAAACCTAAAACAACTAAACTAACAACACAGCCTCCCTCAGCAAATACATCCAAAGAAGACGGTAGACTAAGTCGATTCCGAGGAGAGCTCCGAAGCTCTGATACCACGCCCGCCACTGCATAGGGCCTAGCAAGACGATGATCCCAGCCTAAAAAACAAACCGAAAAATCGACCCGCACTCCAGCCACAAGAGGCCACTATCTACCCCCACCGGCTAACACCACTAGCCAATCCAACACCGTCCCGAGACCGACTATCACCACTAGCCTGCTTCCCAAAACAGTCGGCCTCCCACAACTCGTAAGCCGAGAAACGGGAGAAAGGGGTAGAGTGGCATTTAAGCTCAGCCGCTACGACCAAGCCCGAACAAAGCGACATCCAATCATCCCAGCCCGCAAGTAATAACCCGACTCATCCCCGCCGCGCATAAGAGGATTAGGCGACCCAATCCCGGCGAAAACGGAAAGAAAAGAGACGGGCTTACCTCCAAGCTGGGCTCTCAGAGACACCCCGAACAGGGCAGATTCGAGCGACTCAGCCTCATCCACGCACCTTAGCACCCCGCCGAGCCCCAATTCCACTGAATTCCAGCGGTCATCGAGCGGAAGAAGGTCCGCCGAAACCCTAGCCGTTACCCAGTGGTGTCAGGCCGATGGCGAAAGTGATGAGTCGTGGATGATTGGTGGAGGCCGTCCACCGATGCTGCCCGGACGACGGCTGAGGGAGCACAATCTGGCCGCGAATTGAAGAAAGCCGAGAGATCGAATTTGGGATCTGGTCGCGAGAGAAGAAAAAACGATGTGCTGATTGTGTTTTAGATGGTTATGTTTCAGTTCAATGTAGTATTTTATTTATTTGAAATTAGCAAAAAATTACTATCAGTGGCCATAATCAGTTAGACTGATTTTGATGCAACAGTTTCCTTTAACAAAAATATGCACGGTGAGATCGATGTCATACTTTTCAAACTAAATGAATTAATTATTTAACATTATTTTATTTTTAATCAAAGAACAAAGTAAGTCAAAGCATAGTTTCGAAAAAATATTTATTTCTTCATTTAAGAGAGGCCTTTCCTAGCTCACTGGCACCTGAGTTGTCAAAATTAATCCAAGTCATCATCACGTGGAATCTTTCATTAAACTAAAGTATTATCCAATATCTCATATACCTTTTCATTAATAATGACAAATAATTTTGCCTTTTCTTGTTAGCATTTATGAGGCAAAAGTTGAGACAACATTAATTTTCATATAGACACATTAAAATAATCAGACAAATTTGATCAACTACTCCATCATATAAAAACAACAAAACCATGAAGTTCATTCAATTCAGAACAAAACAAAGTGAAAAATTCACCAAAGACATGATTTCAAGTCTTTTTGAGAGGTACAAAATCCTTAGCCAAATAACTCTTTCATTTAGCATGTCCTTGTTAAAACCATACCTTCTAAAGTCTAACAAACACACTGATATGACCATTTCTCTTCAATAATGTCCTTGCCATCGATCGCCAAAAAGCTACGCAATCTCGAAGAACTATTCGACTATGTTGACAAATTACTCCTTTTGCCACATACCTATCGAGTTTTTTTTCCAACAAATCCTCGAAAAATGGTTCGGCGAAATCTCTGAGGGTTATCTCGGACTAGTGGACATTTGTGCCACGACGAAAGATTTCGTATCACATTCAAAAGAAAGCATTTTAAACATTCTTTCTATCCTCCGGCAAAAACGAGCCTCGGACGAACTTTTGGAGCTCATCTCCTCACGGAAGATCGCGAAGAAGAATATAAGAAATTCGTTGAGAAACATTCGTGTTTTGAAGAACAAATTCTCGGGTTTAAGTTTATCGACGGGCAATAATAATCAAGAAACCATTGCCATCGTTCGAATGTTGAAGGAAGTCGAGTTGATGACGATCTATTTGATGGAGGATTTGCCGTTAAGTATTTTGGGGACGAATAAGCTTCGTTGGAGGCTAAAGGCTGGTTTTTAGTCTCGAAAAGAGTTTCGTGCCGACATCATCACAAATGCACGGCATTATTTGGGTTTGGAGATTTGGATTCGGCGTTGCGTAAAATTGTTCGTTCGAGGACATCAAAGCGCGAAACGGGCTTGCGAGTTGACGAGCTTCAACTGCAGTTGAGAGATATCGATTCAATCATTCGAGTTGTTGAAGAAAGATTAGAGTGTTTGGTTAAGCGTTTGATTCAATCAAGAGTTTGTTTACTCAACATGAATAGCCATTTGTAGTAATAATTATTGGATGATGGTTTGTATAGATTTATTTATTTATTTTTTTTTTTTTATTTTTTTTACCTTTAGTCACATAAGCTAGAGATTTTTGGCCTTTTCTCTTTTTATGTGAATTTTAATCTCACAAGATTTTTTTTTGTAATCAACTAATTAATATGTCATAATTTTAAAGGTTAATTGAGAGAACGAACACAATAATGGTGACTAAAAAGTTGTGTCATGCAGAGTTATGTGAAGATAAAAATTTACCAGTCGAAAAAAGTTCCACTAATTGCGCTTCGCGTGAAAGCTCTTGTGAGCTACACTTTTCGAAACAATAATACGAAACGTAAATTTGGATCTCATCTCAATCATAATGTCTTAAAGTTTGCAAATTTGGTCCCAAAACTTTTGTTGTTTCCCACATTAGTCCCAGGCACGTTAATTATGGTCCTTTTTGAATTTTCGTTGCTAAAATGGTCCCACGTCCATCAATATTAATAGAGCACGTGTGAGGACGTTAGATTGGACTAATTTTGCAATTTTGGGATCAATTTTGCAATTTTTCAAAAAAAAAAAAAGAGTTCTTCAAGTTTTTCAAGTCTCTCTCATTCACTCAAAGCCGAAATGACATAATAAAATTAATTTACTATGAATATTATGCGAGAAATAAATATTAAAAATAATTTTATAAAAATAAATATCGGGTGGAAAAGTAAAGGCGTTGATAAATTTTAATTTTGGGTGGAAAAGTAAACGATATAATTGCTAATTGTGTGGTATTTATTTTATTTTCTAATATTTTTTCCGTCATTACTTACAAAATATTAGCAATTATTTGAATATTATTTAAATTAAGAAATAATATTATTTTAATTAAATAAAGCAAACCAAAAAACATAATTCAATTTATCAAAATAAGAAAAAATGTGAGTATGCTTCCAATAATACTGATTCGTCTACATTTTTAAATATTAGTGTAATGTGATAATTTATATATATCCTTAATACTAATCCGTTTACATTTTTAAATATTAGTATAATGTGATAATTTATATATATCCTTACAAACATTATTAAATAATACGAATTAGAAAAAACCCAATCTAAATAATTTTTTTTTATTACTGTCTATTTTAATTTTAATAATTTTTTATTTAGCAATTTGATTTTGACAACCATAAATTAAAAAATCTATTTATTTATGCAAATTACATCTACATAAAATTTTTTAATTTTAAGCATAATAAAACAAAATTTGGCATTAAATTAAGTGAAAATAGACATTTGCTCTCACTTATTTATAGTAAAATATATCATATATTTTTTTTTGCATCTCATTTATCATGAACTAATTAATAAAATTACTTCTGATAGATAAAGAAATGTCTGGTCTTTCTTATAACACGCAACAATTGAGAAACATTTATACACCTTTTGTTAAGTTACCCAATTAAATAATTATTTTATGTAAAAAAATCAAGTTAAACTTTAATTTAAGTTAAAAAAAAATGTGAAAGAATTGTATGTTTGTTATATTTATCTTTTATAATTTATTAAAAAATAAACTAAATTTATTGTTAGGAAATAATGGTAATATACCTTTTTAACATTTACTAAAAAAAATTTTAAAAAATGTTTCTAATAAACATAAATTTAAATAATTTTTATCACTCACTCTTTGAGAAAATTGCAAATTTGGTCGAGGTCAATATTCCCCTAATCGACGCCATAAAGCAAGTTCCAAAATATGCGAAGTTTCTGAAGGACTTGTGCACGAATAAGTGTTGTAAATATTTTTCCGGAGTAGAATCAAGAGATTCGAACACCGGGTCGTGTCTCTCGAGGAAGGTCAGCCGGATTACTTTGCACGTTATTCAAACTCAAATAAAAGAAATTAAATTCCTACACATACTAATTCAAAGATTGGTTTTGGTTTAACTATCAACTACTGCGAAAATTCAAATTAAGCAATAAAGGAAACAAGTAACGAAGAACAACTAGGATTTGAGTAGCTAGGGAATCGGGGAGATCCGTTTTGGTTCGAATTGCAATTAATGGGTAAGTGATTATTCAGCTAAGTGATTTGACTAATCGACACGTCCAAGCACTCATTCTCAATAACTTTTCGTAACAAGAGAACAAACTAGGACGGCAAATTAACAATTCATTTAGCTTCTAGGCAATACAGTTACGAACAAGCCTAGTTCGTACGAGCCTATTTCGACCGACTCCTCCCCTTTCGGTTCTAAGAGTCGATTAAAGTAGACTAGAGGGTGGTTAACCGACTAATCAAACAGATTCCAATTTCAAGCACGAATAAATCTAATTCAATCGAAACAATTGTAAGTTGAAGTGTCACTCTTCAACAATCATCAATATTCAAGCTTATCAGTTGAAAAACCCTAAATAAAGATTAACTCGCACGAATTGAACGATCCTGAACCCAACAATGGCAAACGATATCAAAACATCAATCCCCTATCCCTAGCATAAAGATTTAGCTACTCATAATCGAATAAACACAAGAATTTATATCAACCCAAGAATTCATATTCATCAAGCTAAATGAAAAGAAAATCTTACGAAGAATGATAAAATCCCAAAGTTGAATCCGAATAACAAGATTGAATCCGAAAGCTAAAGCAAAATTCTTAGTCAAATCCGTGTTCTACGTCGAAAAATAATGAAAGAACGATGAAAGATGAGAGAAAAGAAAGGGGGTAGGGTTCCTGTTGTGGGTCGTGCGAATGAGATAGAATGAGAGATCCCTTTGTCGAAAACCCGATCTCAATATATATAAGGGAGCAGTGCCGCGCCGTGAACAGGGCCTCGCGGCGTGAAGGAGGTGCAAGCCGCTGCGTGTCGGAGGGCTCGCGGCGTGGTGGAGACATCGTTGGGCGCAAGTGCCGCGCCGTGGAAGTCTGGCGCGCCGTGAAGGGGCCTGCTGTCGCGGCGTGATGGAGGGCTCGCGGCGTGAAGGTTGCTGGTGCCGACTCTCTGTACGGGCGCGGCAGATGTCACGTTCTCTCCCACGGCGTGAAGGCTGGGAGTGGCGCGGCGTGAGAAGGTGCAGCGGCGCGGAGCTGGGAGGTGGCGCGGCGCTAAGCCCTTCCGCGGCGTGGAGCTGATGATGGCACCATCTGAAAGCCCGTGGCGGGTGTAGCGGCGCGAGACCTCGGCGCGGAGCTGGTATTGGTGTTCGGGCCACCTGCATGACTTCACCTTTCGGAGTCGTTCGGACTCGTTTGACATCGGAATTCGATTCCGTTTTTTCCTATGTGTTGCCAACGAGACACTCTACTCAATTAAGTTCTTCCGGTCCCATTATCATGAAAAATAGATCCTCCCGAGCTTTCCATCCTGCACACCAAAGACGAGAAAAACCGGAAGAATACCAAAAACGACGCAAGAAAACCAAACGAGAACAAGACGAATAATAAACTACAAAACTAATAAAAACTAATGAAAGGGGCTAAAACGGGGGAAAAAGAAATAAAAACAAGAAGGAAAAATGCAACAAAAATGGGACCAACAACTCCCCCACACTAAAACCTTTGTTCGTCCCGAACAAAAAGACACGAAAAGAAAAGAAAACAAGCAAACGAGCATGGATAACAGCTTCAAATAAGACAAGCCTCAAATTAATCAACTCAGCCGAGGAGATTTCCAATGACCAATATAGCACACCTCAATTACAACTCGAATGCAACACTTTAAGAACACAGACGCTCAAGCATGGGAATATCAAACGTATATGCCTCACTCGGTTTCTTTTATAAATATGAAGTGGATACGCTCAAATTGGTCGATCCTCATGCATCAACATAAGCTCGCTTATTGTCTATTCGGACTCAAAAACAATTAAATTCATGCAATAATGAATCAAGAGGGCTTCTAGGGATGTAACGTAGGCTCTTTGGACTTGGTGGGATAAATATGGGCTAAGTGGCTCAATAAAAATATCAACTCAACTCAATCACCTAACCGTGCTCATGAACTCATCCGGTTGTCAACACCAACCGTTTCCTCCAACATCCTCAAAAGCAATACTCTACCCACATTATTAATATTATTCATCTCCTTNAACCAACAAAAATCACCTCCAATTCTTCACTTACAACTCCACAATATCGTCATCACGGGGTTATCAGTAAACAAAAAAAATTCAATCAGGCTCAAAGGGGGGTGACTAGTGAATATTATTACAGAAAAAGAAAAAAAGGGAATGAAAATACAAAGAACGCCTCAATCATTTTCACATCACACAAACTCAAATGCTTCTTTTCAAAACAGACTCAAAGCAAGTTCTGATCACACGAATCCGACCAATATCTCTCAAGAAACAACCAAGGCTCAAACCTCACATAAGGTAAATATATGCCCAACAAAGCGACACATCAAGTTCATCAAAGCATACTGGTCATGATCATCATCACATCTCCTCAACATCGTTAACAATCATCAACGAATCTCAAAATTCACCATAATCCATACTCAAAAACACACAAACTGACTCAAGAAAAGACACTAGAATAAAAACAGAAAATGAAAATAACCTAAAAGAACTAGACCTGGTCAACCACATAAGGCACATAATCATGCAAAAACTCCCCCACACTTAAAACCGAACAATGTCCCCATTGTCGATCATCAGTGCGAGGAAAGTTAACCCATATAATCAACCAACACAAAAGACAGAAAAACTAACCGAAAACGAAAATAAAGAGGAGAGAAAAGATACAAGCGTACATGGCACAA